TTTTATGCCACAGAGCAAAGATGCAGTGTTCTTTTGCAGAGAGGGAGGAAAAAAGAATAAGCATAGCCAGAGAAGGAGATGAAGAAGGGGTGGATAAACAGAGGTGGAGCATATGCGATTGAGAAACATTGTATTCACACATTTCTGAGGTTTTGAGTCACTAATTTCCCTCCCTCCTACTCCTGCTCCTGCTCAGCCCTTTCTCCATATTAGAGATTGAATTTAGAACTTTTGCTTTGAGCTACATGTTCAGCTCTTTTTCATTTTCTTTTTTAAAAAATTTTGATTTTGAGGCATGGTCTCACTAAGTTGCCTAAGATGGGCTTGAACTTGTGATCCTCCTGCCTCAGTCTCCCAGGGTTCTGGAAGTAGGCCAACATGACTGTCTCCATATGCATCTTGGGATGATGATTTTTAATTTCTTACTCTTCCTCCACCAAGTTATCTTAAGTTGGTGCATTACTCTGACAAAGAATCCTAACTACACAGACAGTGAAATTCTTCCAATGCCAAACTTACTATTAAGCTGCAGCCAGTGCAGCTTTCAGTAGCATCAAGTTTTGGATTGTCACTTAGCCAGTTCATTTGTAGATTCTGCACATCTTGATGTACTCAATGTATTTCTGCCTTGATGCAAATAATGCTTCTAAGTATCTTCCATCTTTTTCGCTTAAATCTTATGAGAGTTTGGCAGCAAAACAGAGAGAAAAAATAGGAAAGAGGAGATAGGTAGGGAAAGGAAGAGGGAAGAAGAGAGAATGCAAATGGATTTAGGGTTATACAGACTTCTGTTCAAAATCTGCTCTGGAGTGTTCTAGCTCTAAAATCCAAATTATTTAGAATCTATGAGGCTTTCTTTCCTCATCTAAACATCAGAGATAAAAATCCTACTAACTGGAATTTTTAAAATGATGATTTTATGAAATGAAGTGCAACAGTGCCTAATCCATAGTAGGTACTCAGTAAATATTATCCTCTCCCAGTCTAGAGGTAATCTCTCATCTTCCTTTGTACTGAAGCAATGACTCCTAAGGGTGTAGTCAGTTACATTCTTGAGCAGGATACAACAGGTGCTCCTGACAACTGGATCCGAAAGCCTGAGATCAGAGCTGAGGAAAGGAGTTTTCTCATACGAACTGTGAAAAAGTAAACTGTAAAAATTTCTACCACTGATTCCTTTAGACGAGGAGCTGGACCACTGGTCACTTGAGGCCTCTTTACATTGTGGAACACTATGATTCTAATACCCACTTTTAGATTATGATTTTATGTCTATTTAAAAATACCCCTTAAAGTTCTATGGGTTGGTGAGCAATAAGCATTTTCCTGAGGTATAGTTCCTGTGGCAAGGAAATGACTGCCTTCAAAAGAAGCCACCTCAAGTTTTGAAGAGACCTACTTAGTGTCCGTGCATCAGACAAAATATGCCTCACTCCAAGTCATTTGCACTAATTCTCGCTTTTATTGGTTAGTAGCCCTAGTCCCAGGATGATTAGATCACAGAAGCTGTCCTTTTTTCCTCTATCAGGTGTGCACTAACTGGTTTTCATCATCTTCCCATTTCTTTTCCTCCTCCACTATCCATGTTAGCACTTGAGCTACACCACTCCCCAAAGCTTAGAGCATTGTGAAGCAATAAAGGAGAACTCTACTGGAAAAGACGATCCTAGGTGACAGTGGAGCATTGGGAATGCATGCTTCTCTTAGAAAGGACTCTTTCCTGATAATAGTTCATTTTTTTGTTTGTTTGTTTGCTATTTTTTATTTTTTTTTCCAGTACCCAGAATCAAACTCATGACCTTGCGCTTGCCAGGTAGGCGCTATGCCGCTGAGCTAAATCCCCAGCTCCTAGATCATTGTTAATGCTTCTGTGAATAGGCATTTGGAGTATATATTTTCTTGATTTAATCTTCTCCTTCTCTCTAGCTTTACCCTTTTCTTCCCTCAACCTGTTCTCAATCGCTAGCTTTAATTCATTCATTCACTGATTCATTTATTCCTCGAATATTCATTATGTGACTACTACATTTAAAATCCTCTGTTCATTTCTGACTCACATCTTAAAATTCAAAAAGTATCTGAACCTTGCCCTCAAGGAACCCACAGTCTAGCAGAAGAGATAAAATATACACACACAACCAAAACCCAAGGCAGAAAGAATTAATATGTTTTTAAGTCAAGGATCAGTATTTTTCAGACCACAAATTTTAGCACATTAGCAGGCTACAGAATCAATTAGCCAATACCTAGCATTTTTAAAAAATAAAGGAAATTGTGTAAAACATTGAAGGGGATCCCATTATGGATACATTGTTGTTGAGTGCAAATTTTATGTAGATCATGTGTGCTTCCTAATATGAGGCGTGGGTGCAGGAACATGGTATAATATGAAATGCTGCTACTCTGTATGACATTCGGAAATTTAGCTTAGGAAAGCTAAAAATTTAGCTGAGGAAAAGAGCATGGACTGCTTTCCAAACTTAGTATGCATGTGAGTCCACTGGGAATCTCAACATAAACTGTCACTTAGTGGCTGTGTGGCAGGGCTTGGGATTCTGTGTCTCACAAGCTCAGGAAGTGCTCTTGCTGTGGGGCCACACAAGGAGAAAGAGTGCTAGACAGAGGGAGAGAGTACTTCAGCAAAAGAACCCAAGGAAGCCCCTCCAGCCATTCATCTGTGACTTCCAGTGCCACCAAGGAATAAAAAGAAGTGAGACTTTTCCTTTTCAGGTTTTTGCTTCAGGTTGACTGGTAGAAATCCTCCTATGCCTCACCAAGGGCTGCTGCTGTCCAGATTCCTCCCTCACTCTGCAGATTGAAACCAATGCCCGGGGAGTTACTGTGAAATGCTCCCCTGTTGTTTCTGAGCACCGGCCCCCAGCTTCCCATCCTGTCCGACATATCTGCCTTTCTGTCCAGTGTCTCCTGCAATCAACACGAAGGCAAGTCCTACACAGCAGGATTTTAAGAACAGAAGCAAGAAGAGGTTCAGTCATTTGTGTCCATTCATCATCCCATTTGTCAGACTGCTGTCACCTGCGCCTGGGCTGCTGCTCGAACTTCCGCATGGTTTTCTCTGCCTGTGATTCCCTTCTTTCTTTCCCGTTCTTTTCCTGCTTCCCATGCATCCTGCACAGAGATACACTGATCCTCCGAAAATGAAGTTTCTTTTACTCCCCAGTTCTTACAGAAGCTCTCTGCTCCAGTCAAACTTGTGTGCTGCTCCAACTGCCCTTGCCCATGCTTTGTTTTGACCTCCCACTTCCTCTGGGACGATCTCACTTTCCTAATAATTTGCATCCTGCCTACTCTTTAGGATTTTGCTTAAATCCTATTTCTTTCATCAAGCTGTTTTTGAAACCCCAGGGGGAATGAATCTCCCCCTCTTGCTGATGTCTCATTACAGTAATGCTGAGCGTAATTTGTGTGCTGATGCGCGGCACAAAAAGCACAGGTGTGCCAGGGGACCAGACAGGGGTCGCAGCAAACTGGTCACGTGGGGACAGGGTCAAGCCATCTGCCTCCTCTGAGCCTCAGTTTTCCCGTTAAAGTAATAAGAAAATTGCAGAGGATGGTCTCTTCAGTGACTTCACGTAATGCGCCCTTTTTGTGCATTTGGCTAATCTTATAAGTTTCCTTAGGGATCTTATTTTTGTTCTTATTTTAAACATGTTTCTTGTTAGCACTGAACTATCACCTAGCTTTTGAATTGCTTTTAATTTTTAAATTCTTCCACGTATTTGTCTCTCACTCCTATGGGGAAGGAAGGAAGCTCGCTGTGTGTTGGAGACAGAGGCCCACGGAGGGCCTGCTTCCAGGCGAGCAGGACACAACGCCGCTGTCAACTACAGCGGTCTCTGCACGCCAGGACACAGGCCGGCGTCCCCTCCGAGTGGGTGCCCACTGCTATCTGTCAATTGATTGGACGTTGCGAGGCCCATTTTGCAAGACAACTCCCTTCCCCTAGGAAGGAGGAGCCCCTTGGAGTGGGCTGGGTAACGGGAAAAGTGCTTACTCCGGGAGGAAGGCGGGGCGAGCCGGAAAACCTCTCGCTAAGAACACGCAGACTCCCCCAGTGTTTCCGAACCCCGTTCTGCTCCAGGGAGCGGGAGGGGGTCTGGAGGGACTTGGAACCCGCGCCTTTGCGGGAGACCCGAAGCTGCCTCCGGCCGCCGCTCCGGGCCGATCCTGCGGAGCGGAGCCCCCTCCCCCGCGCCCCGTTTCGCTCCGGCTCCCTCCGCTCTGCAAAGGGAGGGGAGAGCCGGGGCGCCGCGCACACCAGCTTTCCCGGAGCGGCGGGCGAGGAGCCCCGCGCCCTCGGGAGCCTCGTGGCAGCTTCCGGGCCGCCGCGTCGCGCGGG